CAGGAGGGGGAGAAGAAAACAAACTTCTGCTAGGGATGCCTTCTCCCTCTCCCCCTGATTTCTCCTTGGCAACGCTTGCCTCACGCAGCAGCACATGGTGTGTGTGTGTGTGTGCATGTGCATGTGTGTGTGTGCGTGTGTGTGTGTGTGTGTAACGGGGGCTGGCTGGGACCGATCACCTGAGAGGCTGGCAAAGAAGCCTTGGTTTCCCCACTGTCGCAACTCTCGGAGGTAGAAGGCCACAGGTGGCATGCAGAGCCCTCTCTGCAGGCACGTGAGCTGTCGCCCCAGCTCAGTACTGCCATGCATGTGTGCCAACTGATTTTCGGGTCTCTGCCGCACATGTCCGGGGGTGGGGGCAGGGTGCATGCACGAGGCACATGTGCGGGGGTGGGTGAACCATGCACACATGTGCAGGGTCATGCACACATGGGCAAGATGCACATGGGGGAGCGTGCACATACATGGGTGTGTGTGCACATGCATTGCATTATGGGCTTTCGGTGTGCTTTCGGCAGTCAGTGCCAAAAAGGTTAGCCAACACTGTCTTAGAGTCTTTTCTGAGTCGAAATAGGTATTACTAGGTTGGAAGTGAGAGGTGACTAATGGAATGAAGAGGAAAGATGGTTGAAATGTGCCCTTATTTGGATGAAACAGAAATCTGCCACTATCTTCACCTGGATTTAAATGGGTCTGCAGAATTATAATTCAGATGTTTTATTCCCCTTCCCCTGAAACTGAGGCTTTATTTCTGCTACATGTCCAGAAAATGCTTTGATCAGACAAAAAACATTGTGGGAAGAGCTAAGGTGTGCAGGTATCACCTCATTGGTCCACATGTTTCTGGTTTCGCACTCACTCACACTGGAATAGCACTCACATTACTTGCAGTACATAAGATTTTAAAAGCTGATGTGTTTTAGAGAGCCCATGGAAAATATGTTATTAGTTAATTATTGCTTAATGTTGTTTTTATAAGTTTTAATATTATAGTATGGCTGTATTATTGTATTTATTTCATATTGTTGATTACCATTTGTCTCAGAGTCTGATGGGTGTAAATAAAATAAATCTTAGAGGAATACCAAAGGGGGCAGTTTGAAAGGCACATTAAATCATTTGGCTATCTTAATTAGAAATGGCCTCCTTATGACATGGGGCTTCTTACTCATGATTTCATGTTTAGGTCCTTCCACCAAATTCAATCCATGGGCAGCCTCTTAACCACACTTATCGGTGTCAGATTGAGAATGAGTACTAGTTAATTCAGCTTTAGGGCTTATTATAGGGAGTAGCAAATTACTGCCTATAAGATTGATTTGGCAGTTTTGAAAATTTGGGCTTTTTGAAGACCCTTTTTATTCTTTTGGCCTCCAATTTTGCCATTTTAGTTGTTCTCAAGTGATTTAAAAGGGCAGAATAGGTGACTTAACCTGACAGCTTAAGGCACCCACTTTACCTTTAATGCTCCGCTTTCCCAAAAAAAGGGGGGGAGGGAAGAGAATGAGCCAGACATTTCTCCATCATGATGTTATCGGCTACTCTTTCTGTGATCCTAAGCAGGTGTTAAAAGCATATAGAATATTTGGACCAAAAAAGGATGTCCATACCATTATTAGTGTAGCAGGCAAACAGTGAATTTCAGAGTATGGTGGGCTAAGTCTAACATATCCAGCTGAATATATATTTCACTTAAAACCCTTTCTCCCTGCTTTTCATGTGACAAACAAAACCTGAAATTTAGCCAACAAAGATTAAATGTCAAAGAAAAAGTTCATGAACTCTCTTAACATTATGAAATCCTTCCTTCCTTTCTTCCTTCCTTCCTTCCTTCCTTCCTTCCTTCCTTCCTTCCTTCCTTCCTNGCACTCGTCAAGGGCAGGGGGGCCCAGGGGGGGGGGCTGCGTGGAGGGAGCCTGGTCAGACTGCGGTGGGGGCCTTGGACGTAAATAAGATCAATATAAAAATATTTTCTGCCTAGGGCCGGGGGTCTTTCCGTGCAGGCCAGGTGGGCTGCTGTTGGGCTCGGCTGTGTGTGGGGCCGGAGGGCCGGATGGGTGGGGCTCTCCAGGCAGGGCCGGCCTTGCACGAAAAATGGGAGGGGCCTTAGTCATCATCGTCATCATCGTCATCATCGTCATCATCATCGTCTTCGGTGTTTATCTCTCCTTCCAGCACATCCTCAATCCAGTCTTCCAGCTCCTCCGCAGAAGGAAGATCCTCCTCGTCATCCATCTCCATCCAGATGCTGTCGGCCTGGGCGGGGGGACATCGGGGGAGAGAGCTGCTGGGGGGAGTCCGGTTGGGCAGGGCCAGCCCCCCCCCCACCTCCGCCCCCCCCAGCTGCTGGGGGGAGTCCGGTTGGGCAGGGCCAGCCCCCCCCCCACCTCCGCCCCCTGGCTGGCTCCAGCGTCCAGCCTTCTCTCTCGGCCCATCCTCTTGGCCCCCCTTCGAGGCTCAGTCCGGTGGCCCCCAGCCGGCCCCCCAGCCGGTCTTCCCCGAAGCCCTCAGGCACCCCTCCCCAGGCTGTGCCCCATGGGCCCGACCTCTGACACCCAAGGGGCAGCCACATGTTTGACGGGACTCACATCCGTCACGTTGACAACGCCAATCTGAGGCCGAGACAAATCGATGTCGAAGGTTTTCTCCCAGTAAGGGATCAGCTGGGAAGGAAGGAAGGAGAGAGGGGAGAGTGAGGCTTCTGGGGTTTGGTTGGGGGCTGGAATGGGGGTGGAGCACTCTTTGGGCCATGGGGTAAGAAGCCCCTTTCTCTTCTACATGAATTACAGGGATGTCCGTCCCCCCCACAATCCTTTTTCCTTTGGGGCTTTGGTCTTATGCTCAATCTGCCCCTTGGACGCCTAGGGAACCAAAGGGGGGCCTTGCCTTCCCTCAGCCTCCTCTGCCAGGGACCCTGCTGGCTTTTCTCCCACACCCCCTGTGGCCCCCTGTGGCCCCCTGTGGCCCTGCCCTCCAGCCAGATCAGAAGAGCCGCCCTCACGCCTCCCCCGTGTCCCGTGGCTGCTAGCAGGCCCCGTGAGATCCCGCAGGTCGGGAGGGAAGGAGATCCGGGCCCCAGGGGAAAAGGTGTGGCTTCTCTTCTCCCCTCCCCCCGTTTTCAAGGAGTCTTCACCAGTGGGAAATCCTCGGGATCGATCCAGATGATGCTGAGATCCGGGTTGTCTGTGTTATCCTGGGCGACTTCCTTCAGGATCTCCAGGAACTCGTAACCGTCTGAAGAGAGGGGGGCAGGGGGGGGGGCTAAGCAGCCTTCTTGCCTGCAGCCCCTGAATGAGCCCCCCCCCTCGCCTCCTCCCACTTCCCCTTTTCCCCCAGAGCATCTCTGGCCCAGGGCAGCCCAGGGGGGGCCTGGGACCAGCAGCCCAGGACAGTCCCTTGCAGGCCGAGGGATTCTTGACTGCGCGTGCAAGAGAAAGGGTGAGGTGCTTCCCTTTCGCAAACCAGGTTTATAGCTGGATAAATGGTAGCCAAGGAGGGATCAATACAGGATCACCCCCTCCCCAAATCTAGAAGGACTCACCAGGGTCGTCCTCCTCCGCGAAGGCCACAATGTGGATGCCGTCCATATCGTCTTCCTAAAGGGGGAGCGAGGCGGATCAACGCTGGGCGACTTTATTGCTCTCTCGGCTGTTTATTCCTGGAGGACCCCCGACTCGAGGAGGAGAAGCAAGCAGCCCCCAGCCCCCTCCCCACTCGGCAGACAGGACAACAGCAGAGCAGCCTGAATGTTTTCCTGGCCACGAAGGGAAGCTCAGCCCGAGAGGCCGGGAGTCTGGGGGCTCATCTGCGGGTGGAGGTAGCTGGGGCCCCTTCCCCAGGAGCAGCCCTTCCACCCCCCCCCCACAGGGCAACTTCCCTGGGCAGAAGAAAGGGGCTCGGCTGAGGAGCCCCAGGACTTCCCAGGGCTTGTAAATCAGCCGCCGTGGTGGGAGGTTTGGCTGGGCCCCCACAGAAGCCCCCTGGCCTGAGATCTGGGCAGATCAGCCGTGTGTCTCTCGGAGGGGCCAAAGGGGACCCCTGGATGCCTTTGGACGTGTGAAGAGAAACTGGGGGAAACGCTTTTATAATTGACTACCTGGCCAGCACAAAGTATCTGTTTCCAGCAGAATTGCTGGCTTTGTGTCCTTTCTTTATTATTCATGGGGAGCCGATATTGGGTTCCCAGTGGGGGGGGGAAGGAGGGGGCTTTCTGCTCTCTGGGAAGCTCTGGGGAGGGGGCTTGGGCAAACCCCCCCCCCCCCGACTTCCTTC